TTTGCACAATCAGAAAGAAGCTCATGTAAAAGAACTTCATCAGATGCTTAAAACGTATGGGCGCTCTACGACGTATCAATGGATGAAAAGATTACTAAAGCTTATGAAAGATACATCTAAGACCAAAACATTGATAAAATTAAAAAAGCTTTCCTTTCAGATAGTGGCATCAATAACTATAGGACACTCAAAGATAACTCATGGTAAATAGTCATGTTCACCTCCTCTACCAAAAACTAGACATGGATATACCTAATAGAACAATATTATGAGGTAGCTTTATTTTGCATACAATTCTGTAAATAAATGTTCTCTTTTAATAATCAATAGGGAGAATATAACCAAAACTTGATTAAAGGAATGTGTATCTGGCCATTCTATTAAGTTGTCCTCGGTTGGGAAAATGCCCTTCGCCATTATTGCAAAGACTAAGCAAAAGCCGAACTCATAAGCCTTTTTGGACCAACCGCAGTCAACAACAACTGGACAATAATGTGTGTATCTTGTTTCATCATCAATATAAACAAAGATATTTTATTCAAAATCTATCAATGCGATTATTAAAAAATTATAGTTGCTAAAATTTTCAATTCTTTGACTACCTACTAAATGTATTAGAAACCATAATCTTGAATAAATGAAGAATAAAGCAATTCTTTACAATATTCAATAAGTAAATATAATCAACTGTTACTTAGAAAAACTACATTATTTAATTTTTATTTTTTCTCTTTAAAACAATTTATTTTTGATAAAAATGATATAATTTCTTCTTATTAATTCTGTTTATTTATTTAAAAAAAGCAAACTCTATTATAGTTAACCTTTATTAAAAAAGTATAGTGATTTTCAGCAATAAGAAGTCATAGAAAAACAAGTAATTGAAGATCTGATGTGAAAATTCTGCCATTCATAAACATAAACTCGAATATAATAATCAATTGAACTAGTTGATAAATTATAGAAAATTGGCCTAAAAAAATCTGAAGATTATATATTAAAATGTTAATAATTATTCCTATTTTCAGTTAATACTTTAACTAAATTGAATGAGTTTGAAGATGCAATAAAAGTATACAAAGATATAATTTAAATTAATCCAATACATGATCTATCATATTAAAAAGTAGGTATTGCATATTATTAATAAATTAGCTAATCTCTTGAATTAAAGTTAATGAAACTAAAGTTTAAGAAATTTAAATCTTATTAATAAGCAAAGGAACATTATGATTAATGGATTTTAATAAATTCAAATTATTCAGCTGCTTAATTTGAGAAGGGTTTTATAGAATATATTTATTAAGATGAATGTTTAAGAAATACTTATTAATATAATGAAGCCTTAAAATATTATATAAAGTTTTGTAATAGATAATTTGATTTGACACTATTGTTGTAACCTTACTAAAAAATATCAAGAACCAATATTTGTTTATGATAAATGTTTAATAATAGATCTAAATAATGCTGAAACATAAGTAGGGAAAGGTATAAAAAATAATAAAAATATAATGAAAATGCCTATTATAATCAAATCTATGTTAAGTCTTAAATGAATGCACAAAGTTATGATGTTATTCCAATATCATGGTTCATATAATTCTGTTAGAATAAATACTCCTGATCGTTTCTTTAAATTACTGATCATTTTCAAATTGTTATTAAGGTGCTGAATTAAGATATCCTAATTTAGAAAAATATTAATTGTTTTTATTTTTTTTCTTTGATAAAATTGAAATATTTTCAAGATAATTAAGCCTATGTTCGGCTTGATTTTATAGTAAGAGCATCTTTATGCTACAATTCTTTCAAGCTCTAAATTTAAAAGAAATCTCATGTATTTACAAGTACTTAAAAATATTTTCTATAATTAGAATTTAAAGTTTTTCAAAAAAATAAAGTATTCAATTATATTCTTATCTGTTCTATAATTTAAAGTGCACAGCAATTTTCAATTAAAAAAACTCTTAAATATAGTAATATTTTGAAGATATTATTTAAAATGATTACCTTGGTATATTCTTCTAATATTTAGTAAGAAAAAAAGTCATCTTCACCAAAAAAGCCAAAAAAAATTGAATTTACTTCTAATTTTACTTGTTAGAATCTATTTAATGCAATTATTTATGATAAATTCTTATATTATACTTAGATGAAATTCATTTATGAAAAAAAGTTTATATTTTTGATGAATATAACAAAAACTAATTTATAAATTTTTCAATAAGTTGCCAGTGATTAAAGAGCTGTTTTGAAGATTTTACTAAATTCATTTAGAACCTATAATATTCATAAGTGATTTTCATTTCCTTTTTTATGTAATTCTTGCAAAATATTGTTTACTTATTTTCCCTTTACTTTGGTGAATGTTAAGTATTGAAATTAAGATAATAAAATTTAATAATTTAAATATTATAATTCTCATAATTATCTAAACTTTCTTATTTATATCTCCTTTGATGTATTATCCCAAGTGATCAAATACTCTCCATCATCACTTAATTATCCAAAAATAAGATAATTATTAAATTCAATAGATTATTAAATGATAAAGTCATCA